TATAATAGCTGCGCTGATTCAAGTCTTAATGGCCGTTATTTTAATACTGCAACTGATAATACTCAAGGAATTGTTTGGTGGCATTGGAAAGGAATTACTACTCTCAAGTTCACAGAGATGAAAACTCGTCGTAACAATTAAATACTGTCCCCCACACACATAAGTGTGTTTACATTGTGCTGATATATTATTATGTCATTTCAATATTACAGTCTGTCATACCTTGTAGTGATTATTAATAATTATTAACTATTGACTTTATTAATGATGTAGGTATGTGTGGGTGGGTAACAGGAAACTATTATTAATTTATTATACCATTAAGCATGTACATATGGTTCAAAATGGTGGGGTTTATTTTGGGTAATGCCTATCCTATTTAAACGTCAAATTCATTAAAAAATTTACCTAAAAAATTACCAAAATTACTCAAAATTCTATTGATAAAATAGGAAATACCATATAACTGGTAATTTTCAAGGGGTAACATTTTGGTGAATTGTCAATAATAATAATAATAATTATACTATAATAATAATATAATAACTGTCAGCTATGCATGCAAGGTGGTGGTGAAAACAATCATAGGACATTTCTTATTGTTACTGTGACATACTACAGTGAGTTATATATTGTCCATAATATACCATATAGAAGGAAATTTTGGAGGGAGTTAAATTTCGAGAATTGCTAAATTTTGGTGATTGGCGAATTTTAATTTGGCAAATTTGTGGCCATGTGCCATTGAGCATGTGCATAAAGGCTGAAAATGGCAAATTGCTAGAAAAACACCAAATTTGCCAAATTTAACTACCTCCAAAATTTCCTTCTATAAAGTATTGTATTTGCATTGCTTGCATGTTATACTGATCACGCTAATATAAGCTAAAACACTGAATCTCCAAAGTTTCTCTCTCTAATCACTCTTATTTCAGGAGAATTTATAGTATCACATGTTGATTACTATAATTACATGTAATGTAATTATAGTAATCAACATGTGATACTATATCAGGAGTTTGAGGTCACATTTCATGAGAATCAAGTATTACATACAGCCCATACTAACAAGGCTGTATATAATTAGACTCTCCATCATTTGCAAGATCATTTAAAGTCAACAGCACCACTGAAACACCTCCACTCCATACTAGCTATAGCTACAATGGATCATGGCTCATTGTTCTTCATACTCTTAGTGTTACTGTCAGCTACTGGAACTGAAGGATCTTATTGGATGGCTAGTGATTGTACTAATACTAGATCATATCAACATGGTGGGGGACTAGCACTGTATCTAAGAGTATGCTGTAACAGCAGTAACTTAGGACAGTCTGCTACTACCAAAGACCATGGTATTAATAGATACATTCCCTGTCCTAAAGTACTACCAAAGTCCTGTCCAGGTATATTATACTGTAATAAAGTCAATAGATCAAACAGACCTGAAGAACATGCACAAAAGATAGTTATAGTACAACAATAGGTGGTAGCTGTATATCACTGTATAGGTGTTTATAGCATGTCAATGGTACAGTACTTAATCAGTAGCAATCATTTTTAAGCTTTATCTCCCAAAGAGCACTCATATCTTACATTAACTATTATTGTTCTATGCACTATAGCACTTCCAAACTGTAAGGATTGGTATAATAATGGTAATACTACTAGTGGTGTTTATATTGTTAATCCTGATGGAGGGACTCCATTTGAAGTTAGTTAAAAGTAATTTATAATTATACACTATTGGATCACAGGTATACTGTGATATGGAGACTGATGGTGGTGGATGGACTGTATTTCAGAGGAGACAAGATGGATCTGTTGATTTCTATAGGAACTGGACTGACTATGAGAATGGATTTGGTAACCTTACTGGTGAGTTTTGGTTAGGACTGAGCAAGATTCATCGTCTTACTAAAGAAGAATCAAACACACTAAGAGTGGACCTGGGAGACTTTGAGGGGAACACAGCTTATGCTAACTACTCTACATTCAGTGTTAGTGATGGTAGTACTATATATATACTAACAGTAGGAGGATACTCTGGTACTGCTACGGATAGTCTGGCCTGGTATCATAATGGAATGAGATTCAGTACAAGAGATAATGATAATGGAAATCTATGTGCTCTGGCCTACACTGGTGCCTGGTGGTATGATAACTGCTATCGTTCAAATCTTAATGGTCGTTATTTTAATACTTCAACTAATAGTGAGCAAGGAATTGTTTGGTTGCATTGGAAAAATGCATTCATTAGTCTCAAGTTCTCAGAGATGAAAACTCGTCGTAACAATTAAATACTGTTCCCCACACACATAAGTGTGTTTACATTGTGCTGATATATTATTATGTCATTTCAATATTACAGTCTGTCATACCTTGTAGTGATTATTAATAATTATTAACTATTGACTTTATTAATGATGTAGGTATGTGTGGGTGGGTAACAGGAAACTATTATTATACCATTGAGCATGTACATATGGTTACTAAAATTAGTCAAAATTCTATTGATGAAATAGGAAAATACCATATAACTGGTAATTTTCAAGAGGTAACATTTTGATGAATTGCTAAATCATTTTTAGTGATTGGCTGGTTCTAAGGAATCAGTTAAGAGTCTAATAAGGAGAGCAATGGTCATTGTGGTTAATGCATTTTATTCACAGGATACCAAAATATATTTTATAACTAGATGAATGTAAAACATTAGTGCTCCACCCCCAGCTACACTATCATGAAGATGAGATTATTTAACTTTAAAAAAAGTTAGACAATCCTATACTGCCCGTACATACTGACTCACTTCATCAGTATAGGTCTTTGCCTAATTAACAGTAATAGAAGCTTAGAACTAATACTTAGTTAGAAGAACTAGTATAAAGAATCAGTTAAGAGGCCTAATAAGAATAACTAAGAAATGAAAATGTGGCAAGGAATTTAATAAAAATTTCAAATGTAAACAGTAGCCATAAAAAGGTAGCTTTTTATGGCTACTTTTTTAACTAGACAAATGTAAAACATTAAGGGGCTCTACCCCCAGCCATGCTAAAGATGAGGTTGTTAAACTTTAAAAATAGTTAGACAATTCTATACTGTCTGTACATACTGACTCACTTCATCAGTATAGGCTTTGCCTAAGCTTAAAACTACTATTTAGTTTAGAAGAACTACTATAAAGAATCAGTTACAAGGCCTAATGTGAACAATTATTGTGTAATAAGAAATAAAATGCGGCAGGAAATTTAATAAAAATTTCAAATGTAAACAGTAACAGTATACAGGTTGATTTGAATTCCAGTCCTTGTCAAGCTCACGTACAGTCTAGTAAAATGTCAAAGATGTTCATCTTTATGTTGTTTTTCTTGTGTTTAATAGTTACCATTGATGAAGGAGAAGGATCTTATTGTATGGCTAGTACTGGATATAAACATCAACCATCACTGTATATAAGGACATGCTGTAACAGCAGTAACTTAGGACAGGCTTTTTCTATCAAAGAAACTGGTATAACACAATATATTTTCTGTCCTAATGAATACTCAAAGTCTTGTCCAAAAGGTACTGCACTAATAGTAGAAGTGTTTAATTCTTATATCATAGATGATTGTAAGAGCCTGTTTGAGGATGGTATTACTACAAGTGGTGTTTATACTGTTAATCCTGATGGAGGGACTCCATTTGAAGTTAGTTAAAAGTAATTTATAATTATACACTATTGGATCACA